GAAACCAAAATAATAGTTCTCTGGAAACAACTAGTCAAAAGAAACTTCAATTTAAAATTAGACATACTTTGTCTTCAAAAAACAATTGTATTGTCATAAATGACGAAAGCTACTCATCAACTAATTTGAAATCATTCATTAGGTTTGGAAAAGCATTTTCAAAATCACACCATCTTTTGTTGTATTGATTTGCGCTTTTAATTCAAAGTTGTTTTTGCTAGGATGAAGTTTGTATCTTCTGATTAGGTTATTCTGAAGTGAGAAAGGGAACAATGTGTGAATCTTAGCCACTTGTTAAGTTGCAAGTTCTTCTCAAGGAGAAAGTTCAGGTTGGTGATTATGAATGAGACAGACCTGGTTTCCAAGGTCTTGCTTTGAAACAGTGAGACCTTGAACCTGATACTTAATCTCTAAAACTTGTGGTTTAACTTAAAATGAGGTAATACTGCCATCTACCCATACAGACATTTTAATAGTGCCTGATATAGACTAAGCTAAAAATACCGACTATTACTATTCTACTCCAGACTGATTTTCTAGAACACAAAGTCAACACCTTGATTTCAGGGCCATCCATTTTGATTTGAGACTTATATTACTGTGCCTGGAAATAAATAGCCTGTACATCTTGCTGCATTCACAGCGTGGGTCCTGTTGAATAAACTCTAACTTGAAGAAGGCTAGGTAATTAGTGTGGTGTCACACTAATTTGAGTGCCCCTGGCTTGGAAGCTCATTACTCTCAGAAGGAAAAAGAATTTATTAAATCAAATATTGTACACAGATGAAACAACACATCACTTGCTAATTACAGGAGTGAACAGCATCTCTTTTATGCCCTTGGTTTATGGTCCATTTAGCAATTAACAGTGCCCCATGTCCTAAAAGAAGCCTTCTGTCTGTGCTGCTGGGTTTTCTCAGGAGGAGTTAGAAATAAGATACTTGACAGAGTTTTGTCAGAGAAAATAATCAAAACTACAAGAAACCACCTGTTTTATTTGTTGATAAAATATACTGGCAAAAAAAAAAAAAAACAACAAACACCAGCACATTCACTGATTTTATTTATAAAAACAAATTACTTTTCCTAATTCTGAAAAGCTATGAAAGATACTACAAACTATTTTTTAATGCTGAAACTTCTTAGAAACTTATCTCTCTAGCTAATATTTATAAGTTAAGAGAATCACTGTTATGAAGGAACGAGCTCTTGTGAAGAAAACATGCATGCTGAGGAACTAAACCCAATTGACTATTTCCCCACAAAGAGAAGCCCCCTTTTCTTCACTGGGGGACAGTCATGATAGTGCAGAGGCAGGATTTCTAAATCCATTGTCCCTTGAGAATAAACCAAGATTAAAATAGTATACTAGGGTAACTGTCCCTGATGTAGGAAAAGGCAGTAATTCTGAGGTACCGACAGTATAAACAAGCTCTGAAAAAAACAGAATTCATAGCAGATCGTACTTCTGGTTTTGCCACTGATAGATGGATGATAGAGACACCACCAAGTAGAGTTGTGAATGTGTTTTTTCAATATTTGCTACTTCTGTCAATCAAACTGCCTCTCAGAAAAATCTCAGAGTTTTGTTATTTGTACTTCACTAGTCGAATCAATGTATAACCTCTCTCTGGAGTACATATATTCTAGCCTAAATAAGCATAGCTGCTAGTAATCAGGCTCCAAATAACAAGAACTAAGTTAATAATTTTACATATGTTATTTCACATAAACCTCACAATCATTCTACGAGGTAGATAAACTATATTTTATCAAGTGGTAAATTTCAGCATAGGAAAGATACGTTGCCCAAGTTTCCACAGCTAATAGAGGTGGCTTGACTTCAGAGTCTGAGCTCCAAAACTAACTAATTAATGTAATGATCTGAATGGCAAGCGTGTGAATAGGTGAGGAGGGATTCTAGGGGCTTTTCTGCAGGTTGAAAACAATTTTGTAGGTGGAAAACAACACTTGCCATAGTAGTCATTTCTTATACAGAAGTGGTCACCACCTTCAAGCGCTAATTCTAGCCCCACCTCCATGACCTTCTAACTTTTTCCAAGAGAAGAAGCACAAGCCAATAGGACCTTCCTGAGAAAGAAAACACATAAAGGAAGCATAATAAAGTGTCTAGTATCTCATTTCCATTTTGTTCTGCAAGATTCCATTCTGTGGCCAATGTTTTGCTTTTATCAGGTTGACTTAAGAAAGGGCAGGTACTCATGGCATCCTGTTAGGTTTGCGGAGGATGAATAAGAATATTTACCATATCCCACACATCAGGAAATATGTAGAAAACCTCTAAGGTGGAAAGCCACTCTGTTAGACAAACAGGAAAATATGTCACCCACCCACCTTCAGAGTTCACTGGAACACAACAGCATGCAGGATAGCAATACAAATAGGCTTGAAAAATTAAAAACAAAAGACTAATGAGGGGCAATTAAGACTTTGTGGGCTGTGTCCAAACTTTTTGAGGTTGAAAATAAAAGGGCAAATTCTTCCACTAAAAGAGAGTACACTCTCCAGCGGACCACTGGAGCACCACTTAGAGGATTTCATTTTCTCCCTGAAACAAGACCAGATCTTCTGTAACATACAAGGGGAAACTTGCTCTGCTGCATGGCGTGTACACCAGAGCAGTCCTCCAGGTACCTTCCAAGTGGGCTGTGGTAAATGCAATGACAATCAGATAGCACTGCATTTTGAAATAATGCTTTGATGATTATCAAGGAGCCCATTTCCACTATCGATCACCCAAGTCTTCCAGAGCTACTAAGAAAACAGGGGTCCTCAACCTGCCACACCTTCCAGACAGAAGCTGCAGGGCCTCTTCCTGGGCTTGAGCAGCCTTGGCAGATGGTGTCCAGATGAACAAATGGCCTCTGAGAAAGTGATTCCTATATGACTTCTAGCAAGTGAATGCGTAGGTTCCGGTCTTGTGCATAAAGCCACTAGACTGCTTCTAGATGGCACTAGCATCTCAGAGAGAACTAGGAGAGTTACAGAGATTGCACCACTCCTTACATCTTGCCAGCCACTTTGGGAAGAACCCTTCACAATGTGCTGTTCTGTTGTTGCATGGAGGTCACTGAAGGCTTGGGGGCACTCATTGCTCAGAAACTCAGTTTTACACACAGTTGTGGAAGAGTGATTTCTGGTGACTCCTCTCTGTCTCTGTGTCTTTAGCTACAGCTTAAGATCATGGCTCACTGTCTCCCTCTCATGGGCCAGGAAGTTTTTTCCTGTTGTTTTGACTGCTCTTTATTTAATTTAAAAAAAAAACAAAAAAAACAAAACAGAGATTCAACAGCTTTTAGAATAACTTCTACCTCTTTAGCCTGATTACAATTATTTGGTAGAATCAAAACAGTTTTATCAAAATCAAAAGATTTAGACATCTTAGAAATTATCTTGCATATCAGATTCAGAAGAAGAAAGACAAGTGGGCTCCTTCGATCATTTCTACTACTGCAGCAGGATCTCGAGTGAATGCAGTCCAGGGTGAAGGCCTGTGATCTTTGTCAGTCTCTGGCATCCACAAGTCATGCTAGCTGACAAGTCCTCATCCTTCAGGAAAGGCAGGCACTGAACTGGTACCTGATCAAGACCTCATTTTTGTCATCTGGAAAATAAGATGACAAAATTTTTCCAAAATCTTTTCTGGCTCTAAAATGTTATCATCACTTCAACATTTATTGAAAACCTGCCATATGCAAGGCATCATAATTCCTTAGAGAAAAACTGACCAAAGCTAAAGAAGATTTTAAAAAAGGTAAATTTGAGATGTAAAAGTCACAAATGATAGACAAAATTTAAAATGGACAAAGGACCCTTGGAGTCGTCACACAAGCACAAGTGAAATTGCAATTCCCGGGTAAGTTCCGTGACATGTCCAAAGTGGGGTGAGACACCCGGGGGGAGGGCTCATCTGACTGCTTCTAAATAAGGGAATAAGGCAGCTCTAGGGAAACTGGGGCATTGGAACATGAACTTCAAAGAAGCATATGCTTAAATCAAGTGGAGACAGATACAACAAAAGTAAAAGAGATAAAGAATATTGGGCTAATCGGTCACTATACATAAGTGATTTGGCACATTAAGTAGCATTAATGGATGGGTGTCTAGAAGAAAGAAAGAAAAGAGAAGGAGGAAGGAATGAGAATCATTTATCAAATAGGCAAAGGAAAAGTCAAGCTTAATTTGGGCATAGAGAATTAAATAGAAAGGGAGTTTCAAAGAAGAGGGTAAAAATCACAGCCTCCTAGCATACATCTCATAAAAATCTGTTGTTTGCATCATTGCAATTAATCTGTTTATGGAGGTTTCGTTTCTAACATTTGCTTTCAAAAGAAATATTTCAATCATAAAATAGAGTACAAGTTCACTCTTCACAGATTAATGACATAATTTGTCTAACTTCTCTTTTTGTTACTGATTAAAAATAACAATGTTATGGCACATTTCAACTCTCAGAAATATAATTATTGTGTAGTGATTATCAAAATCAAAAGCATTCACTTGAACAGAGAAGACAATCAGCTTATATAGCCTGCAACTCATGACATGACCTTGAACAAGTTTCCTTATTTGGAAGGGTAGGGCTTTGGTCTGGCAGGTTCTAAGACTCTCCCTTGTTCTAACTTGACTAAAAATTGCACGTACATGTAGTCAAGGTAGATTACTATGCAATCACACTTGTATCTCAATAAATTACATGGGTCACATACTCTTAGGAATTTTCAGTGAATAATTCTTGTGGTCATTAATAACTGTCAGTCAAATGGAATTCAGCTGCAAAGTACACCAGCTAAGAATGTGGCAGAGTGTACAAGTCTGCTCCCAAGCCTCTGGAAAATCTCCATACTTCGTATAGATGTGTCAATAATTTCAAAAAAAGTAAACTTGATAGGACTCCTCAGAACTCTGAAAATGCTTCTTTCCCAATATATAGAAGATGGACTCAGGAAAAATACAGAAAAATCTTGTGAACAACAGGACTATTTTCTTTGGAGCAATGGGCTGTGGGACTTGTGATGTTCCTTGGGGCTGTGTCTGTGCTCAACTGACCATCTGGACTCAGTTGTGGCAGCCTCTTCTTCACTCTCCTCTCCAGATTCATACTCCTCATTCACTGCATGAAAGAGTGGCTTGGGCCTTATCACCACTCTTCTGTCTCCAACATGCTCATCACGACTCGAGTTTCTTTGATGGCTGAAGGCTGATGGCTTCCCACCTCTGTGCAGGCTCTTCATTGGGATCATGTCCTGTGCCAGTCTTCTATCATGAAGTGATCCCGTTCGATGGTGTGGGCTGTACATAATGGATAGGAGCTCTGAATCACTGCTGTCATTATCTAGGAAAATATGATAATGGGAGGAAAGAAGAAAACTCTCCATCAGAGAATTAGGATTTAAGATCCAGATCATAGGAACTCAGAGTAAAGCAGGATTCTTCCTGAGGTTCCCATCTTACATTTAACTTTCTTATTAGCTTGATTTTTTCTTTTTAATGAAGTTACCCCCAAGAGGGGAAGAAAACAGAAATCATATGTTGCATTATTATAATAAATAAAAACACATGGAACCTTCTGTATTAAGTTACTCTCCTCCAGGTAAATAAGGGAGGTTTTTGTTTTGTTTTAATCAGATCAGTTGACTATAGTAGGTACTAGGCCATCAGGCACAAAGATGCTTTGTGTTACAAGACTAATGCTAAACCACCGAAGGTTATAGAGTACCATGATATGGAAATGTTTGGTTTTTAATCGTGGTTTCTTTTTCAGTCATTGGTTATAGAAAGCTCTAAAACCAAGTTTCACTTTTTGAGCTTGAAATAGCCAATCTTGGAGAAAGATATGAGGGAGCCAGAACAGAGAGCTGTGCGTGGCCAAACAAGTCTGATGTTCTCTTTTCAAAAGAGGAAAGAGGTGAACAGATCATGGTAGGTGTACAGTGGTAATGGCAGTGATGGTGGCATTGATTCCCTGAGGACTTGCTATGAGCCTGTCTCTGTGCTGGTCACTTTATATCTATTATACCATTTAAGCCTCAGAACAACCCTTGGAGATGAGTATAATTATGACCTTCATTTCATAGGTAAAGAAGCTGAGGTATATAGAGGTTTTGTATTTTCAACATCTCACAGTAAAAACGGAGTTGGAGTTTGAAAAATCTTGCCCAGCTGTGTATCCCTTTTCATGAGGCTGTCTCATTTGCCTTTATATACATGATGTGTGGGTCAGGAGTGGTATGTTAAGAGTATAGAGGAGAAAGAGAGAGGCAGAGATGAGGAGAGGTTGTGAGGGAGAGAAATGGAAAAAAAATAGACAAAGGAAAAAACAGAAACATCTGCAAAAATTTCTCTAAAAATATGAAATGTGTTTCAACCTCACTAAATATCAGACATATATAGAAATTAAATATGGTATAAATTTATCTTATAACACTTCAAATTACCCAAAAGCCTGACAGTAGCCCAGTGATAATAAGAAGTGCTCAAAAATAATCTTTTCTCACTGATTGTTGGCTCAAGGGTAAATTTAAATATAAGTAATTTTTGACTTAATATATTTTGTTTCCAGGAAGTATATGAAGGCTATAATTATTTACATAAAAATCAATCACATACATTATTGTACTTGTTCAAAAAACTTCTTATATATCATTATTTATATTCATTAAGGGCCTCCCTGGTGACACAGCAGGTTAGACCACAACACTATGAGGCTGTCCACAAGCACTGCTGCACAGGTTCTATCTCCAGCTGGGGAGCTGACCCACATGGCACGGCAGACCTCTCCTCACCCGCCCGCTCCTCCCCTCAGCAGTGTGTTTCAGTCAATCTGCCTGGCCTGCTCCCCACTCTGTCTCTGGTGAAGGGACACTTTTGCCCCCTGCAATTCGGGCCTATACCCCAGCTCTGTATGAATAAATAAATAAATCTTTAAAAGAACTAATAGTATCTTAAATATTTGTTAATACAGAGTTAGCTAAACAAGCTAACTTATATATATATATATATAACTTTTATATAATTGACTATTTTTAGGTCATTAAAAATTACTGTTTTCTTGCTCCCCAAAAGTAGACAGTTCCTAGTTGGTAGGCTAATTTCTGGGCCTGGAAGCACTATTAATTTATATGGAAAATGTTTGATTTCCACTCATACAGGAAGACCAGACAAGCATGCAGGTTACCTGTGACCTCAGCAGCCCTTGTGTCTCTTCTCACAGACTGAGGATGGCTGTAGGGAAAGGAGAGGTATCGGATGTTTTTGGGCCCAGCCTGTGGGGACAAGTAGAAATCAATGCCGAGTTAGATCCTGCAACTCAGAACTTCACAGGGGAAATAAAGCGAAGGCCACCAGAGACAATCAGCTACCTTGCAGTGACTTGTTTCGATTCCTGGTTTTCAATTACTTTTGTTTCTTAAGAGCAGAATGATTTCTACTTCTCTATTACTTTTTCCTCTCAGGATAGAATAGACCATGATGAAGCTCTCAAAGTTGTTCTCACAGCCCCACTGAGGTTAGGGTAGAGCTTTGTCTAGACCCAACCTCCATCCAAAATTCCCAATAGGACTCGTTTGATTCAACCTCAGATAGAACAGTTCAGGGGGACAGTGGGTGACATGAGAATGAGGTGAAGCATTTTGACAAGAACAGTTTCCTCCCTTCTCCCTTTTGGGAGAGAGGTGGGCTTCCCAGAGCCAGCTTCCCTGGTCCACAGAAGTTCCCCTGGAATTCTCAGTGCTCAGTCACCATGGAATCTGGTCTGGACTCAGCCCAGCAAGGGTGTTCCAGTCACAGTTGCAACGGAGGGCAGTTTTCTGCCACGGACCCCAGGGACATGTACCCTGGAACAGGGGAAGGCAGCTATGTTGTGTCCTTCGCCTTCTTCCATTCGTATTCACCTTCTTGTTTGCTTAACTATCAAGGGCAATCACATGAGCAGCCCTGGTGGGGACAGGTGGAGTTCTCTGGGGCCTCAGCAGCATCCACCATACCGGTTTTTCCCAGGGCAGGCTGTGGCCTCTCCTCATACTCTCCCGTAAGGTGTTCTGGCGGCGGATCAGAATCTCTTTAGCCTGCTTCTCACTTGTTTGGGGTTTGAGGTTGTATTTGTTGTAGGACAGGGTCTGCGGAAAGAATGGAATGTCAATGTTCACGGATGTGGCCAGTACAAATTTCAGCCTCAGTAGGCCATAGATAAATCAAAACAACTAGAGCAAGAGGGCACCATGGGGGTATTCTGAGCAGGTGTCTCCATTATAGAGCGAACTGTGGCCCCAAGATGAGAAGCCTGGGAGTGAGACCTCCACAACCTGGGCAGATCTGTGGCTCTGGCTGGTACTGTTGCCCTCACCTGGGCTGCCTCTGTGCCCCCATGGCAGTTATCAAGAGCTTAAATTGAACAGCTCAGGAAGATATCAGAAACACTTTGAAAATTGCATAAGGTTTCTGTTGTTTTATTTTATCCATTAAAGTCATAAAAAATCTATCAATTATTATCGCCATTATCAAAATGAAAGAGAGCTTTGATTAAAAGATGAATCCCAATTTCATTAATATTAAGTTGTGGAAATGTGCATGTTGTAATGAAAGAAATAGGTTTTAAACCTCCCCCCACACAAAAATACACCCCCAAACAAAAAACCAAAATAGTAGAAAGGTTAGAATAGGAACAAAGCTAAAGAAGAGTCTTTCAAATTGAATCAGTTTAGTTTTTTGAAATATTTCTTCCTGTCCTTATTCCAGCTCAGTGACAATCTATCTTTCACAATACAACACTGGTGTTTGGACACATGTTTGCAAAGCACTTTACTGGACTCACCTTTTTTCAAGATGCCAGTTTCCCCTGAGTCACTTGGTCCTGCTAATTAATGGGACTGGGATCCTGGCTAAAGGATACTTTATTGAGAGTATTCAGTTCAACAGCAATAAAGCAAATGCTCTAATGCCAGGGGTCATGGTAGGCACATGATTTTGTAAAATGGATGAATTAGAATTCTGATCTCCAAAAGACTAACAGTCCATTGGGGCATAAATAACATACTTATTTCTGTTCATATAAGTCATAAGCGTAATGGCAGGCATGCACAGGGCAGGCAGGTCTGGAGGGCCTGGAGGTGAGCAGGCCTCCCAGCCCCCCATGAATCTTATTTATTCTCTTTGGGTGCACCCTGGCCTGTTCTCTTTGTCCCTACAGGAGAAAGAAGTAGTTTATTCAAAGTGTTGTGAGAAGTGAGACAGGAAGTGCAGAAAGAGGCCAGGACCAGGACCTGGACTGTTATTCATCAAGGGCGGAGCCTCCACCCCCAGAGCGAGTTTCTCTTAGATAGAGCAGACATACACTGTCAGGGATGCCACAAGCTGATCCCCAGAGTGAAAAATAAAATCTATTTCTTATATTTTATTTAATTTCACTAAAAATACAAAGAGATTAAACTTCATTATTATAAAATATATAGATGTATAATAGGTCCCTGGTTTGCCTTATTGTTTGTGTTTTAGTGAAATGCATCCACTTAAGCAGACTTATAGCTTTGTGAGGAAAAGGCTGAATACCAGGTACCAGTTGGGCTCTCACTAAGTTTGCTGACATTCTTCAGACCAGGAAGCTCTTAGCTATTTATCTAAGGCAGCATGCGATAATCTTACTGAAACAGTTTCACTTGGAATAATTTGGGAGCTGTAGCATTTCCTCTAAGAAAGCTGTGATTGATGCCAATCTCTGCTCCATCAGCAGGTGAACAGCTTCCATTGACAATTGTACATTAATCACTGACTGTTCTGAAACAGGAGAGCAGCACATTCACTTTCACTGTGTCATGTGAGTCTGGAATCATGGAAACATCACTGAGTAGGTGAATGGAAGACTTAGGTTCCTAACAGGGATTGATTTCATGACCTTGGATAAGTCAATGACTTATAAATAAATCAAGGACTCCCCCAAGGTCAGCATCTTCTACTCAAAAATGATGAGCTTTGACTGGATGATTTTATGAAAATTATTGTTTGTGTGTGCACTGAAAAATATGATCTATGACATAGTCAAAAGTGAATTCATTTATCATCATACTCCAGAATTGGGGTGGACAACTGGAACAGAAACCCTCAAACTTGAAGAAACTCTTAGATAGCATGATTTTCAATATCACTTATTGAGCCCAGGTTTCAGAAAGAGACACATACCACCCACAAAAATCTTACTACGCACTCATGTAGATGCCACTCTTTTTTCCGAAACTGAAAACTAATCTACCTAATATGTCTCCTTTTATTTAGAGTTTCAGCATTGTCATTTCAGTATTCTAACCGAAAGCCTTTCCATTTTTGAAGCTCTATTATAGGAATCAGTCAGCCAGTGACAGCTCTCCTGGGTGCCTGTGCCCTCTTTCTTCTGCAGGTGGGTAGATGAGCCCCACCTTCCCTGGAAAGAGAGGGAAACCTGATGGTTCTAGAAAGCACAGTTTCCAATCTAGGGTAGCCTGAATTCTAGGGCCAGGAACTGGACTTGCTTTTCTTTTTTGACCACAGATTCCAATTTTGCAGCATAAGTGTAAGAATGAACTTTCAGTTCTCCAAACTAAACATAGAGAACTTGTTCCCCAAGAGGGCTGCTTTGGAGAGGCTAACGGTCACAAGGGTGGGTTGCTGAGACCTGGTTCTAAGTACAGGAAGTGGACCAGTCAAGTTTATACACACCCTCTGGCGGACTTGGTACATGCTGTGTGTCAGGATGTGCCTCATGGACTCCACATCTTCAGGGGAAAGCCTTTTGATTCTTTGTATCCTCTGGGCCCTGCAAACACCATTGGAGGAAAGCCAAGCATTATTCTTCCAACTTGAAATGGGTATCACAAAAAGTATCAAAGCACTTGTAAGAGTTCTAAGTTCTAGAACCCAGTTCTTACCTGGGTTTTAGTCAATTCACTTGACATGTCAGCATACGTGTCAAGCTACAGTTCTAAAATTTTGCTTTTTGTGTATAGTTTTATGTGGGAATTGCTCTCCTTTTTAAAATTAGGGTTTGAGGTTTGAGGTAGTGAACAATTTTTTTTCCTCCATGTCTGTTACAAACAGATGCATTTGTAAAATACAATGGAATCTATTATCAGAAAATGATTTTAAAAAAAAGATACCACAACAATGTAAAGCAAATGCTTTCTCTAAGATTCAAGAGAAATAAAGTGACTCAGTGGTAGCAACTGCTTATCAGAGTGTGACAAGCTGCTCAGGGACAAAACTATCTGCACCCACATTTTGAGTAGCATCAAGAGAAGAGATTAAAAAGTTTGTAAAATACATTTATGTATACATTTATTTCAGAGTTGTTCCTTTAGGAATTTTATCTTTGGTTAAAGAGTAATTGTAAGAAACAGAATCATTTCATAAGGGGTATTTCTACCCCTTATTTCTACCAGAAAAACCAGCCCAGCTCTAAGACACTGGACGCTCTGTGAGATTCTAGAAACAGCTGGCTGCCACTGCCTCCGCATGACCGGCTACCCACAGCTTTCTTCACCAGGAGCCCCCACCCCAAAGAAAAGGGTTCAAAAACCAAGTCATTCTCAGGTTAGCAGTCAATGCCCAATTGTCTTTGGAGGGTTTCAAAGCATGCCATTGCTATGTGCAGAATTCTCATGTGACAAACATATCTAATTTCAATCATTTCCATCTAGTGGTAGCAATTGCTAAAACCTTTTATTGTAAGAATAACATGGTCACTATTGAACATAAGAACAAAAAAAAAATAGAAAACTAAAGAAAAGTGAACTCTTCTATAACACTATACATATTGGTGTAAACCCTTCCAGATTTGAGAGTTTTTCCTCTAGGGGCAACTTTGCTAAATTCAGAGAGACTCAGATGTGCTTGCAAAAGGTATTATGACCACTGATTACAGAAATGAGTTACAATGCAGGCTACCTTTTAAGGATTTTTGTTCCCCCAAATCATAGCAACATAGCCATAAATAGCAAGGACATTTTATAAATAATGTACAACTGGTAAAATACTTTTAAGGGTTTGGCTACTAGATACCACAGTATGCTGGGATTTATTTAGCATTGCTATCTATGAAAGTGACCAATACCCTTTCTACAAATCATTAAAATCAAAGTTTCCATTTCTCAGAACTGCAAATGTCAACACTATTGACATTTAGTTTCCACCCTTGGTGATATAAACATTATTATCAGAACATTTCAACTTAACTGTTTAAATGTCCTTCAAATACAATTTATTCTGACTTAGATACACCCATACTTTCCCACAATCTTTGAATAAATTCCTTTATTGTGATGAATGTAATCTATGGCGAAGTATTAACAACAGCTAGTCAAATAGTTCCATTTTTGTATATTTGTTCAAATATGGAAAGCCATCAAAGGAAATGGTGCAGTTGAACGAGATAGTAGTAGGCATGTATTGGTACCTCCCTGGCTTGTAACTGACCACTTTGATAAGGAACAGATTTAGCTCAGGTGGATGAAGTCTACAGGTATCCCCAGAGCATCATCCACATGGAGAAGATGCAGCTGATACCTTACACAGAGGAATAATTAAATTTAGAAAGGTGGCAGCTATAGTTTTCTACATGCCATTTCATTAGCAAAATCTTTCCTGAAATGATCATATCATGGAACATGGAAAAATGCAATCCTTAAAACAATATAGTGTTAATAATCTCTAGGTCAAAAAGCAAATTTATATGCTGAAAGACTTGTCACTGCAACAGTCAATTATTAACCATAAAGGAAATCTCTGTCACCTTAAAGTTCTATGGTTATTTCATAGCAATTAAAATCAAAGTGGAAAAATTTGACCTAAATGTATTTCAATAAAAGGTGCTTATTTCTCTTAACCTTTGAAAAATCAGATGATACAATGTAAAAAAAAGAAGAAAAATTATTCTAACAGTAATACAGATATGAAATTTAATAGATGTTATGTTCATACCATAATTTGAATTTCCAAAAGAAGAAATAACATGCATGCCCTGATTCACTTAGAAGAATCAGCCTCTTTCAATAGAAATCCATAGGAAATGCATGCTAAGATGACTGCAGGGCTGTCCAGTGAGTAAACAGTGGAGGCCAACAGCTCCTATGTGAAAGGTTGCCTTGTTTTATTTAAAACGTCATCAAGGGGCCTCCCTAGTGGCACAAAGAGTTATGTCTCAGCACATGACATGGCAGACCTCTCCTGTCCCACCCGCTGCTCCCCTGAGCAGTGTATTTCAGCCTGTTCTGTTTCCGCTCTAGCTGGTGAATCCTCTAAACCCTCACACCTTTGGCCTATACCCCATCTCTTATATGCATAAATAAATAAAATAAGACTTAAATTAAAAAATAAAGTGGCCATCAGGATACACAATACACAATGTACAGAATAAAGGAAGAGTGCGGAAGGATCCAGGTCCCTAGGACAGTTAGTGAGTGAAATGGCAGCAGCTTCTTCATGCCAGAGTCTTTGGTATAAGCACGTATAAATGTAAATGTAGGTGATCAACATGTGCCAATGTAATCAACTAAAAAATTATTAAACTATCATAAATTAATGTATGGCCTCTTTTCTTTTTAGAAGTAGTATGTTTCAACTTACGGGAGTTTTTTTTTTTTTAAAGATTTATTTATTTATGCATACAGAACTGGGGTACAGGCCAGAGGTGCAGGGGCAGTGAGAAGATTCACCAGAGACAGAGTGGGCAGCAGAACAGGCCGACTGACAAAGTACACTGCTAAGGGGAGCAGCGGGTGTGTCAGGAGAGGTCTGCTGTACCATGTGGGTCACCCTTCCAGGGTGGGGATCGAACTCATGTTGAAGTGACTTTAGCTTCTTCGTGCTATGCTTTAACCCACGAGCCACCAGGAAGGGCCAAAACTTAGGGGAATTTTAAAATGCAAAATTTTAAAGTTGTATCTTTACAGCTTATGATAGCTATAATTTTTTAAATATTTTAATGTCCCTTTTATGTTAAATAAATGTGTTAAAGCTTCGATACTTTCAATCAGTTTGAATCTCTGTCCTCTGATGTGTCTAAGATCTTACTACTCATTGGCAATAAGAGACCTCATATTTAAGTCAATAATAAAAGTATATACTCTACTTAACCTATAGGGTTGTTTGGGGGATTGAAACTTAATGTTTGTGAAAGTAATGGAATAAACTCAACATCATCTGCACTGTTGTAGAGTTTTGAAGATTATGAGTCTGGAAATCTAAACTCCTTGTAGAACAATTGGTTAAACTTCTAAAGAAAAAAGTAAATGTGCATTTTATTGTTATCTCATACAAAATATTAAAAGGTGAACTGAGTACACACTTCTTCCTATTATTGTATGAAAGTTTGTTTTTTAAGAAATTAGCTTCTTTGATCTTAGGAAAGGAATTCCTTTTTGCTTGATGTCCTACAGATTACTTATGAGATCAAATACATGTAATTGAAATATAAGCCTGAATTAAATATCAGGATAAAAATCTCTCCTACTCCATTAAGCTAACTGGTTTGGCCTACAGGAGAAACAAATCGACTCTAACCTATAAGATTGATTTATTAATCTTGAGTCAGTGTCCAAAAAATAATTAACTCAATGGAAGGAACACCCTCCAAATAAAATTGGCTTAAAAATTGTCTTCAGGTCAGAAATGGAACCAGTTGCATGTGACTGAACGATGTAATACAGTGATTCAAACTTATGCTTTAGCACAGGATAAACTGATCTTCACTGGAGATAAATGCTCCTACATTCTCAGAGCAAGTGTTCACATAACTTGCAAGCAAACCAACTGAGGACATTCCTAATGGTTGAGGTACCTGAGCCTGGGTCGCCTCCTGCAGAGCTTTGCTTTCAGTCCTGGACCCCTGACCACAAGCGAGCAGGCAACTTGCCTGAGGCTAGATGAGGTTTGCTTCCTCAACTCAAGGAAATTCCTTAGACTTGATGATCCATATTTGTGTGGTCATTTTTAACATTAATGTCATGATCCTGTTTGGCTATGACAGGGACAGTGATAGTGTCTGCTGTCACAGTCCAGGCACAATCCGGTGTTCTAGGAACAGGCTGGGCCTATGGTGTGGTGCCTACCTCTAGCACAAATGTAAGTGGGAACTAAGAACATCAGTCATCAAAGTAAGTAAGAATTAAATGTAATGCTTTAAAAAACAAAGGTCAGTGCCTAAAACAGAAAAAACACCATGAATAAAATGGCATTGATTTAAATGAAGACAGGATTGGTATTTCTGATTTTTTCCTTTTGCTTCAGGCTCTGATAAAACTCAGGACAGCATGACTTACAAATATTTGTTGGCAGATTTCTATTTCAGTATCAGAAGTTTCCTTAAAGTCATATAACGGGCAACACCAAAACAAACCAACCAACCACAAAAAACAATCTCACTGTGAAATAAGGCAGAAAGCTCTCTGTTTATACCCAGGTGCCCGAAGGGATATCACTGAAGGTTTTTCCCAGATTGTGTAAGAAAGGGGGTGGTGTTTCTGATTCATTAGCAAGTAAGAAATGAAAAATAACACCCAGGCATTAGCAACAATTTTAATGCCAGCTATTCTTAGCTATTCCCCCAATTTGCTTTTCAAACACAAGGACATAATTAAAGCCCATGATCAAGTGTCATCATTACCTGCTGAAGACACAGGACAGAGGTGCTGGTGTTCTTTGTTCTAATTATACAGTGTGACTATCTTCCCAATTCATAAACCATTTCTTGGAAGAGAACTGGGGTGACTTAATTCTTATGGCATTGAAGGAACTCTTATTAAATGTCAGAGTTAAAACTACTTGAAAAAATACCTAGCCAGGTCTTGGCTTGACTGATCCAGCATCTGACCCAAATGATGCAAAAGAAGTACCCTGCTCTTAGCCCTGGGCTCCACATCAACTCCTTAAGGTCCTCTGTTTCAAAGAAGTGAGGCCCCCCTGCTCCTACTCCAAACAGATCTTACATACACTTAAGGCAAATATCACCCTCATACAGATCTTTGCATTAGATACGATCACAAACATAGCGTCTGTTACAATAGCTCACCAACCATCTCCATCTCTTGCTACCTCACTCATGCCCAAATCAATGTTAGCATCACAGGTGGAGAAGTGACTTATGGGGGAAAGGCAGTGGTAGGAAGAGCAAAATCAACTGGATACGGGTTAAAGAATAGTAATTTCTAATCAGGAATCTGCAAAGAAAGTCTTATGAAATATGCTATAAATTTCATAAAGTCATTTGTCCTTCCTTCCCCATAATAAAGTTTTATATGACTATATATAGGTATTTTTTGCTATTAGATTTTTAGCAATTAGGTGAAAAGGATTGAGTAAGGGCCAAACTACAAAAAAACTCAAACTTCATCTCTTTTCATGACTTCCTCTCAAATTTCTTTCTCTTCATTCCTAATATTATTTTAAATGAGACAATGAACAGCTCTTGGAATTCTTACATTGAAAGTCTAGATCAAAGAGCAGAAATGACTTACTGATGAGGTATGGAAAAGGCTGTAGAATTTAGTATCCCAGTCTCTACCATCTCAATAGCTTGTTTCATTTCCAACTTTTTGTACAAAGAAACAATGCTTGATTTTGGCAGGTTCTTTCGAATTAGGATTTTCCGTAAATATCTATGATCAAATTTCTTGAACCTAAGAATGAAAACCAACATTTTGGAAATCGTTAATCTCTGTATGCATTATCTAAGTATATATTTTTCTTCAAACAAACTACTCCTTACCTTTATTCTAAAAACACCAGGACAGAGCCTAGAATCCATAGCTCTTGGAAACATTGTTTTTAATCACAGAATTTATACATCTTTTTAAAATAAAGAAAGAATGGCCAACTGGCCTGAATACATTGAAATTCAGCTAAACAAAAGGAAGGGACAAGCTGCAATCAGGGCAAAAAAGTGTGCTTAAGTGTGGAGCGGGGAGGCCCAGCTCAGCCCAGCTCCAATTGTAAGAGCAGAAATGAGGGGGTTGAGGCTTTTGAACAAGTGTTCCATTCTAATAGCGCATAAGAGTGGCAGCTGCACTTACAGTAATACTGGGCTATTCAACCAGAACCCAATAAGTTTAAATGGCCCAGTAGTTACAGTAGTTCTGCCCCATTATGCTGCAGATCGTTTTGAATCCTGCCAATTAACAGGAGGGGAGGAGAACCCACATATGTCCCGACAGCCTGAATGATGGAGCCTGAATAGGCTAGACGCTGATGGCCGTCACTATTGTAGCGAGCCCCTGGCAACCCATTAGGCTGAGCTGCACGTAGGCATATGGTGCCTTCAGAGCAGGGCGTTTGTTTGGAGTTGGAATTTTCAACACTTGCAATCATTTTACATTCAAAGAATAATTCGTCTGCTTGCTTTATTTGCTGGAAGGGAACACAATTCCCTGGGCCCTGGCTTATTATCTGGTGATTGGTTTTCTGGTCTGTGAGGCGGATGGGCTCTTTTAACACTCGAGTCTCTTGTGAGTTTACTAAGCTGTGATTCCTTGAACACTGCGGTCTCTATTTGGCTCATACCAGGAGCAGTATCGCTCCAACTGAGTCATTCCTCAGGTTTCTAGTTTTCTCATCCTCTCCACGACAGGTTTTTGCTCCTATTTGTTCTTCATCCCACCATAATTGCCTTCTCATCCATCACAGCTGATCTGTTCCATTCACACGGAGCTCACTTGGACCTTGTATTGTTCAGCATCAGCGGTCACTACTATCTTCGCCCTACTCACCACGGAACACCTCCTGACATGCCTTTGATCATTTCCTCTGTGCCTTCTACATCCTCATTGACACCTGCTTTCCTTCCAACCTCCTAATAACATACCCGAGTCTCCTCTGCCCTTCTGGTCCTTACCTAGCCCTAAGAGCAGAAGTTCCTTCAAGTCCTGGCCTCAGTCTGTTTTCTCCCTTCACACCCTTGTAGTAATCTCACTCATGCACATGACTAGTGACCAAACATTTTCTGGCAACTCACAATGATTGTAACATTTATCTCCAGCCATGATCCTCCTCAAAAACTTCAGACTAAATACCAAAAGGTGGCTGAGCATATACTTGAGACATCTTAAAACGAACATGCTACTTAACTCAAAACATTCTATAGTTTATGTATTAAACCATGACATTGATTTCTTGCTAGATTCTTATCTGAAAATCTGAGTCATGCTTATTTTCTTTTTCCTCACGTTCCTTTCCCCATAGCCAGTCATCCTGTCCAGCTCAGAAATGTTTTGGTATCCCTTCAACTACCACCTTAAACTTACTGGTCTGATAGTTCTATGGTTCTATGGCTCACTGAGAAAACACAAGATATTTGAAGTTAGACCTGAATTCAAATTAAGGTTCCATTCTAGATGAGGTTAATTGACTTCGTGGAGTCAGTTTCTTCATTTTTAAATGAGAAAAGCATGTTTAGGAATGTTTAGGAGATCATACAAGATATAAGAAACAGCACAGTAATTACAGCCTTTTCCATGTTTATAAAATGATAGTTGTTAAAACAAATTTCTTATATCTATATGAAAATCCCCTCACATTTCTCCCTCCCCCAATGCCTCCTACTAATCCAGCCTTCATATCACTGTTGTAGTTTGCCTCTCAAGAACCAAGTTATGGTCATGCTACTTCTATGTAGAAGTCTTTAGAGAAGATTTTAAGGGTCAAACAGAATTTACAAGTCTTAATGGTTGTGCAGAGTGCCTTAATTCTGGCACCATAAAGACATGACTCTGTGTTTCCAGTTTCTTGTCTCACTATGTCACTCTTTCTAACCATTTCCAAACCATTCTAAGCCTTTTCTTGCTTCTGAGTATAAAACTACATTGCTGCTGCTATGTAGTATGCTTTCATTCTTATCTGCCTGGAATTCTCATTTACTTTGCAAATTCACTCTCATTTCTATATTACAGTTCTATGTATTTATCTTAGTTATGGCATTTCCCATACTGATCATGATTATTTGTTCAGAATCTTTCTTTCTTTCTGCCCCACCCCCCAGTCCATCTCCTACCCATCCACAATAATGTTGTGGGCACATTGAGTGCATTTTCTTGCATTTTACTGCTCTTGGTACCTGTTTTGTTATTTAGAAAACTGGGTACATATTTCACCAACTGGAAGGATGTTAAATTTTTTTCATTGGGAAAACTATAGGATTTAGACTTTAAAAATCTATGACTTAAGTTATAGATTTGTGGTTATTTGCGTAATTTAAATTCTACTTTAACATGATGAAGACTGCTAACGCTATCCTCCACCGTATCTCACAAAAAGAGCTGCCCCATAGCTCTCAGTTTCTCTGTTAGATTCAGCCACCCTCAACCACCAACCTTTTTAAGGTTCAGTCTTCCTTAGATCACCAACATCTAGATACTTGGGGGAGCAGTGATAAGCCCTAGAAAGGAAACTTCTCTATTTTGATGAACTCAAATAAAGCTTTCCCCTACCTCCTTCCAATAACTGTGCATAACTCCAAAACCCTCCTGTTCCTTGTTCTCAACAAAACTCTCCTAGGAGTTACGTAATTTTATAAATATGGCTGTAGATCAAATTCAGGTATGGAATGAGTTCTGAAATGTGAGCTGAGGTAGAAAAGAGAGACTAGCATTCTGGTAGAATCACTACGTGGGAAGGGTGTGTCAGGGTCTGCCTCCACAGTAGCTTCTCCAATGATGGAGAAATTTCCTTCCAGTTTCCCTGATGAGTCATGAAACTCCCTTTTCAGCCTCACAAAGGAGAACACTGTGATTCTTTCTAGTGTTATATTCAACGTGTGATACAATCTCTTGAGGTTCCTTCAGAAGTAGTGAAATCCTCCACTTCCTTACTTGTCTCTCACTTGGTAATGGCTCCATTGCCCACACACATCTTCAATTCCTGCCTTCAAGTGATCCATTAGCTGTCAAATCAAACACAAGACAATAACTTCTGGTCAAGTGGCAACTATAAAGGACAACACACAGGAAAAGCTAAAACACTTTGGAAAACAAGTGAAGTTCTAAAGGAGGAGCATACCCTCTTTTCTATCACCTGTTGATGGAACTAAAACATATGACTTTCACTGTAATTCACTCAGTTTCATGTTTCAAAAACTCTATGTAGAAATGTTTCTTTGCCATGAAAACAGGTACTTGCCTTTTTTTTTTTTTTTAAAGATTTATTTATTTATGCATACAGAACTGGGGTACAGGCCAGAGGCTCAGGGGCGGTGAGAGGCTTCACCAGAGACAGAGTGGGGAACAGAACAGGCAGATCGACGAAGTACACTGCTGAGGGGAGCAGCGGGCGGGTCAGGAGAGGTCTGCCACGCCATGTGGTCTCCTCCGGGGCAGGCGGGAATCGAACTCATGCGGAAGCGGCTTTTAGATTCTCAGTGCTGTGCTTTAACCCGCTGCGCCACCAGGGAGGGCCCGGTACTTGCCTTTTTAAAAAAATAGTATTTTTCCAGAATGATTTAAGAAATTTTGTGTAACTAAAATTGCAGGGTCACAAATCCTAGTAATTAACAGTTGACTTTTAACATCAGTGCAAAAGAAAAGAATATCCCAACATCAGGGCCCTTTCTGGTGGCACAGCAGGTTAAAGTGCAGCACTATAAAGTGATCCATCACAGCTGCTTCAGCACGAGTTTGCTCCCTGGCCAAGGAGCTGACCCACATGGCACAGAAGACTCTCCTGTCGCTCGCCCTGCTCCCCTCGGCAGTGTGCTTCATTGATCTGCCTGTTCTGCTCCCCACTCTGTCTCTGGTGAATCTTGTCACCATCCCTGCACCTCCGGCCTGTACTCCAATTCTCTATGAATGAATAAATAAATCTTTTTAAAAAGAGAATATTGCCAATATCTAATACATAATTTCAGAAAATGCAGTTCTACCAATATTCTGTTAAGACACTGCAACAAAATATGTCTATATGCCTCCCTTTTTTATCTGATCATTTTGTCTCAATACTTACATTTTACAATCTAAGGCAATTAAAGTACATGTGCTTTATCGATACTGTTCATGGGCAGGGGTAGCCTAGGGTTAAATCTCAGCACTGCCACAAGGACAGATTGAATTCGATCCCCGCTAACCCCCATATGGCACAGCAGACCTCTCCTGTCTTGCACGCTGCTCCCCTCAGCAGTGTATGTCAATAGCTCTTCCTATTCTACTCCCCACTCTGTCTCTGGTGAATCCTTTCACACTACCTACTTCTGGCATACACCCGAGCTCTTTATGCAAAAAAAAAAAGAAAATTAAATTAAATAAATCTTTAAATAAACCAATATTTGTAGGAAATTAGTGGGGAAATCACAATCTTTTAAAACTTATAACTTGGTCTCCAAATAATTTAAATTTGTGATCAATGAAGTCTATACTGATTTCTAAAGTTGACTGCAAATAGATGAAAATATTGAATGATTCTGAAATTACTTATTGATACCATTTTCCAAATAATTGTAACCACCTCTCTACTACCAATAAGTATAACTTTTAAAGAAAAACAAAAACAATTAGTATAAGGTATATTCATAAGTTCAGATTGGAGAGGATTATGTCAATAAAAAATATTATATTCAGACCTTCATCCATCCCTAATTTAGATGATGAAATTTGAGATTTCTGAACTAAGATTTAGCTAGGAGTTTGTGGACATTGAGTTGATAATGCAATGAACTGAGCTTTTTGGGATATTGGTCTAGAGTTAACATATTCCACATGTATCATAACATGAGCCTTTGAGGATCAGACGGCTGTGGCTAGCAGATGCTAAGTCTGCATCCCTACAACCTGTGAACATGTTAGCTCACATGCAAAGGCAAATTAAAGTAGCAGTTGGACTCAAGGTTGACTAGAAAAAGATTCAGAGAGACTAAGTACCACAATCTTTTTGCCTAGAGTCTCTAGAAAGAAATGAAACCTTGCAATATTTAGATTTTAGCCCAATCATGCCCATTTTGAACTTAGGATTCCAAAACTACAACATAACCAATTTGTGGTTTTTTAAGCCAATAAGTTTGTAGTAATTTCCAAAACAGCTTTAGGAAACTAGTAGAGTCATTCATGGTGGAATGAGAGAAGAAAGAGGCAGCAATTCTGGTGCCATATGCATCCATATACACATGACTCTCTACTACCCCCTTGGGTGATGAGTGGGGGGGGGAATTATATACTTGTTAATTATAACAAAGATGTAACTTACACGTATATGAAGCTCTTCATTGATGGATTCTTTTTTATTGGTCTTTTTAACATCCAGATACCTGACCAGAGGGCCAATTGTGATTCCCTAGATCATAAAGGACAAAATAAAAGGGCTTTGTTATGGGGAAGATGGTCACCAAAGAAAGCGATTAGAAAAACTATTAGAACGTTTCATTTAACGAATGAATAAATGAATTATTTTTAATTGAGGTAATATTAAGCTACCTCCTTAAGTTACCACCACATATTACCCAGCACCAAATCACCCATAGTACTCCACTGTAGTCCACTGTGCTTATGCTGAGTTCTATATGCTCAGTTTTTAGTTCTTCAATTCTTTAGTTCTATAGTCAGCTTTTAAGGATTAAATTTTTGAACTTTTCGTTTTCATTTTCTCATATTGTATTAATCTCTGCTGGAAAATGCTCTAGTGTTTACTTTAGTCCTTATTTAATCCCTTTAAATTCTGTAATAAAATGATCATTAATTACATTTAAAGATTAAAACCTGCTTTAATTTCATCTTTTAAAATAACCCTTTATTGGTTTGCCAAGAGATAACTCCAGTGAAAATAAAATCTTTCACTATCTAGCATTAATTGTAACCTAATGTTCAACAATATACAGTAGATATCATTCACATTTTATCCAGGAATATTTTGATTAATGTTTTATTTATTAAAAGGTGACACATTTTTGAAGTTAAAAGTGAAAGTGATTTAGAAATACTTGAGAATTTAGTATGGGCATGAAATACAATTGATAATCAGATAGTTCTCCTTTTCAGGTACCATATTAATTTATACATAATCCTAAAATGGTCTACTTACTTTGAATGTAAAAGAAATCTACCAACCTGAATAAATACAGTAAAATATATAACAACTAGAGTAGCAGTGACAAACATTTTCTTCCTAGGAAAAAGAGATAGAGGAAGCAAAAATGCAAGTGAAAAACTTCCAGCTCCTCGAACACCACTGTAGAAAATTATGCATTGGTCCTTGATGGAGAAGGGGAAAGTCCGGAACTGGTTACTGACATAGAAGAGAGTAAATACACCTAAAAGGTAGAAAATGCGAGAAGGTCATGAATGAGTAAAGATATAGCACTACTAAACCTAAGTGGCATGCATGTGCCTTCAGAGAAGGCAACTGCTTTCATCACAGACCTTTGATTATCCATCTCCAACAGTATCTTAGAACTTTACTTTTTTACCCTCTCTGGTGGCACAATGAGTTAAAGCACAGCACTGCAAGCTAGACACAACTGCTTCCCGCCCGTGAGGTGATCCACATGGGGCAGCAGACTGCTCCTGTCTCACCCACTGCCTGAACCCCAGTTCTGTGAGCATAAATAAATAAATCTTAAAAAAAAAAAAACTTTATGAGACTAGCAGTGTTTCAAATTGAAGTTTTCACTGGTAGTACTCTCTCTGTTTAAAGTAATAAATCTTGATACTTTTTGATATAAGAAATAGCATGTGTGTTCTCTTTATTCTTAATTATCTCTGTCTTTCTGTTTTCTTTGTCTTTCAAAACTAAGTAAAGCGCAAGTATTACTTGGGGGGATAAAACCCTTTTTATTAACTCATTCTTAATAGGTAACTACAGGAGATGTGCAATTTAAAGATGAGTCATCTCAGTGACTGTGGTCCCTGGCGGTGAGCGAGTCTTTTGTGGTTGGTTTGGAGCTTCTGGAGCTTCAGTGCAAACAAAAACGGAAACTGGCAAAGGCTCAAGGGAAGAATCTTGCTGTCAGCAAGAGGAGGCTGGATAGTATAGAGTGAGAGAGCTTGGTGTTTTCTACTTGGCATTTCTATCCCCAAGTGGCCCACTTCTCCTAGCTAACACCAACGCTGTGATTTTTGGTGGGAAAAGTTCTTTCACTTAAATTCCAACTAATTAAAGAAGATATTTCACTGCAGATTTATAGATCTCTCCGTATTATGTGACTTCTAATCACAGACTTCACAATGAGTACCCTTGATAATAAGTGCATTGATAGCACAAGAGAGAATAACATTTAAAACTTTCATCTTGCACTGTTTGTTTTGGCTTCTCCACAAACTGTCATGTTCTTCATCTTATCACATACTTAGCTTCTTTACCTGCTTACTGGATAGTATTTAATTCAGGAAGTGGATGCAAGGTCTAACGAGATGCAATGCTTACCAAGAACATAAAGTAGGGAATTATATGTTCTAAGCCTTCATGAGTTGGAACTTGACTACCTACAATGAGTCAGGCTGGGAAGAGAACAGGCTGGGAGAGGAGAACAATGTTCTACACCTGCTCTATCCCTGTCTGTGATGTGACCAAGCCAATCATGCTCTTTGTGACTATTCCGTCAGTTCCCTAAATATGAAATGAAGGGATGGGGCTGGATGGGCACCAAAGGTCAACAGTACTGAGGCACTCACAGTGTTGTTCCTCTCCTACCTGATGTCTATCCTAGTTGGCTAAACCAAAATTCCATAGTTTTACTTCTCTTGACATTAACTTTATGCTGTCAGTACTTACTATGCCAGAACTGAAAGGGACCTAAAAAGTTTATTGAAAGCCACAATTTTGTAATTGAAAATAATGATTTGGAGTAGTTAAATGTCTGTCTCAGTCAAATAGCTAATTAGTAATAGTACTAGAATTCAATGTGAGTTTATAAATTTTCTTCCCTGTGGACCAGATACATGTATTCAAAATTAGTCTTATGGATGTTTTAGCATTTCTGCGTTCTTTTCATTCGTTTCTAAGTTCTAAAATCCACCCTAAATTAATTTAGAATTAAGATGTTTAGAATAGATTTGTTCATTTCTCCTAATTTCCCTTTGAGGAATTGACTTGAAACTACTGATCAAAGTCATTTATAAATTTTCAAATATTGATCAAAATCATTAACAAATATTGTTTCTAATCAAAAACAACACACATACTGTAGTTCAGTAATTAACTTGTTTCTAGTTTCAAAAGCAAACATGTAAGATAAATTTGCAACCTTACTAATCAAGACATCTTTTTTAAAAATTAGGCATCTTTCCCAGGAATGGTGCCAACTGCATTAAATAATGTTTTCTTTACTTATTAATACTAAACAGTTTTCAAAAGATTTATTTTCAGGTCTTTGGTTTTCTATATATCACTCATCTTTCAACTATCCACCTGTACTATTTAGGGAATGTTTTTTAACAATAATTACCTAACACAGAATATATTTGTGAGATCTCACTTTTTCTGTAACAAAAGTGTAAATGGCCACAGTTTATAACCTATATCTGATTTAAGGTGCAAGATGATACAAATTGATGAAGAAGTGAAGAGCAAGGGATAAATTTACTGAGTTATATTTAAATGTGTATATGTGAAAGCTTTTTCAATTAAAAAAAAATACTCCCTGTTCCAGCCTTGCTCAGTGCAGAACCTTATCAGTCAGTAGTTACTTTGAACTGATTGAAAGAGCAACACTCCTCATCACCCCAAGGTACTTATACTCCCCTAACCCGTAAGACCAGTTATCATCACCCATTATTTTACTTTTCATGGGAGGAAGGAATAGGGACATATTTTGAGAAGATGCAGACAGGGCACTCCTGGGCCCTGCTATCTCTTACTGATGGCTCTCCAGATCTGGCAGAAGGCTAGCGTGAAGCAGATGAAGGCCCAGTTCCACTCGTGGTTCTTCCCAACAGTGGACACACCCATGAAGATGAAGATCAGGGTCTCACTGACACTGCTCAGCATCTTCATAAAGTACTTGATGGTGGTGTAGGACGTCTGGGACACGTTTTCCTCCACATATTTTTTCATTGTCACTGCACAAGCTGTGATTCTGCAAAAGGAACAGCGTCTCACAGGGAAGCCACGAAAGGTTGCCCCTCCAGGAAAAGTTCTCCTAATTGGTGAAGCCACAGAGACATAGGCCTTGGGTTTATCCAGAAAGAACATCCTCTTGAGATGCACATGTCCCACAGGTCTTCTTTCTTCTCTTTTTCTCTAAAGGGCTTGCACAGGTGAATGCAGGGGTAAAGGTGACAGTGAATGTGTCCCCACAACAAAATGACATGTGATCCCTGCACAAATCCCAAACAGAACTGTTTCCATTTTCCTTTCCATGACCCAGTACTTTTTCAGCACCATCTCTTACCCCGTATTCTGTCTAAAGCCAAAATAAACCCAGTGCAGTGAAACAGAAAGAATAATACAGCAAGAGTCCCCTAAATGAGTATCATTTCTTACAAATTATTAAGAAAATTTTCATTGGGAGTCCAGGTAGATGACAGCAGAATGAAGACATAGGAAAGTCTCCTCCAGACACACACACACACACACACACACACACACACACAAATGGAGCCAAAACCCCTCAAGGAAAAACGGATTATTAGTATACACAATGGGTGCATTAACCTGAATAAAAGGGAAAGCAGATAAACTTTGCCAAAAGTAACGGCAGGCCACTCAAACCCACAAGAAATAGTGGCCACAGAGCACAGTGCCCAACTGCTATCGACTCAGGTACACAGCAACACTGGGCTCTTTCAACCCCTCATTGCACTGAACAAGGGGGTGCATGAGCAGTTACCCAGGAAAGAGGGTGCTGTGGGAGAGCCACAGGAGTGAGGGCACAGAACAAGGCTGATGGAGTTGCATCTGAGGCTCATAACACAGAGCCACAGCCCAAACCAGGTCTGCGTACCTGGACTTCCTTCCAGAAAAGATGACGGCCAAGCCCCAGGCTGAGCTATCTAACACAGAGAGAGAACTTTTTGAACAGGCATTTCAAATTCCTGAGACTACAAGGGGTGACCTGTTGATGCCTATTGCCCAGTCTTCTTTTAAACCTACTCCCAGCCCCTCCCTGGTACCGTCACCTGACTATTCCATCAAGTACAAAAACAACAGTTGAAAATTTATCCTTACTGACAAACACACCAATTTGAAAACCAGGGAGCAGAAGAACACAGTACAAGTGCCAGAACATAGAAACCCTAGAAGAAGCCATGACTCAGTGGAGTTGCAGGGCTTAACAGAGGTGGGGCTCGGGGCGAGTCCTGGCAGTGCTGCGGACTGTAGAGAAAACAATGGAGGACAGAGGCAAGAACAGAATAAACACAGTGAAAATATGACGCAGCTGCATGCAGAATAATGGAGCTAAGGAACACTATAGCTGATATGGAAAATACAATTGTGTGCCGTAATAGTAGAAAAATAGAAGTAATGGAGAGAATTAATGAACTTGAAAACACAATATGGGAGAACAGAAAAATAGAACAAGCTAGAGAAAAACAAGTCTAAAAAATAAAAACAGTGTCAGAGCACTCTGGGACAGCTTACAGAAAAATAGCAGCTGTATCACGGGGATCCCAGAACAGAAGAAAAGGAGAAAGGCCTAGAAAGCTTTTTTAAGGAAATAATCACTGAAAACAATTTCACTCTGGAAGTGAACCAGAAGTTGTGATCCAAGATGCCTGAAGAGCTCCAAACAAAATAATGTCAGATAGAATACATCAATACACGCAATCATCAAGCTGCCAATAACCCACCCTAGGACAGAATTTTAAAAATGTCAAGGGCAAAGGGGGTAACCTGTAAGGGAATACCAAAGGCACTATCAGCAGATTTCTCAATACAAATATTACACACATGAAAGGACCAAAAAGAGAAATTCAGAGTATTTAAAAAAAAAGACTGTCCAGCCCAGAAACTTCAACTTGTCAAGATTATCAACCAAGATGGAAGGAAGAGTAAGCAGTCACTAAAAAAAAAATGTATAGACACCAAGCTGCATATGACAGAAACCCTAGGGATTACTATAAAGCAAAACAAAACAAAACCCAAAAAAATAACAAGGCAAAGACACCAAAATTGCTTAACTTGGAGGAGGAAAAGAACAGGAGCAACGTGAATCATTAGAACCAGCCATAGACCTCTACTTCCCTTGGGTCATAGATCTGATCACATGCTCAAAGAAAAAATAATAGAAATAACACATAAGACAACAGAAATAGAATTTAAAACCATAATAGGAAGCCTTCAGAACAAATTGAAAATACAAAACAAGCCAACAAAAAACAACAAAAAAAATGACAATAAACACATATCAATAATCACCTTAAATATAAATGATTTGAACGCACCAGTTGAAAGACAGAGTAACTGAACAGATCTTAACGTGAAGGCCAACCATCTGCTGTTTACAAAAAACTAACCTTACCTACAAAGACAAGCAAAGACTTAGAGTTAAAAGTTGGAAGACAGTTATATAAGAAAAAGTCAACTCCTTCAAAAAAACCAATGGAACGGTGATGTATTTGATTAAAATAGGCTATCAATTAAAAAGGCAAAAGACATAGAAAGGCATTATACTATGAACAAGAGTCTAATCCAACAAAAAGAATTAACACACATCTAGATGCACTGAATTAGGTAGCACCAAGATATATAAGACAGCAGAGATACTGACTAGAGCATGATAATGCCAAGGATCTTAATACCCCACTCACAACAATGGACAGATCAGAAAGAAAAATGTACATAAGGAAACAACAGCTCTAAGCAGGGTCTAGGCTAAGCAAGTGTAACAGTCATCTACAAAACACTTCACCTTCAAAACTGTTGCCCTCAAACAAACCTTTTGTTTCAACTTCACATCTTCATGAAGAGACCATATCTGGGGGTGGAAGTCAACGCTCTATAAAACCAGATTGAAAATACATCTAGTAGCTTCTCTGACCACAATGCCATTGAACTAGAAACCAGCTTTAAAAAAAAAGAAAAAAAAGGAACAACTATGAATACATGCAGGTTAAGTGATATGTTGTTTAACAGCAACTGAATGAAAAAGGAAATCAAAGCAGAGATTAAAATGACATACCACGGAATAGTTCATAGCCACCAGACAGGATGGGATGTGGCCATTTTCAACAAAGTGGAGCAAATTTGAAAAAACTTAAACGCAGGAAAACAAGTCAGAATGATTGAGACACAGGTTGGACATTCATACCACAGACAACTTGATGACATCAAGCACTTCCAAACACTACCAGGCATCAACCAACATCCTAGAGGCTCTGAGGGTAAGGGTGGAGAGGGAAAAGGAACAGGTGACAGGGCTGGCGGGACAAAGGTAAGGAAATAAATTTTGTAAAAGAATAAAATTAGTATAAAAGTGGATAAATATGAAGATTCTATCCTGTGATGTGAGTACTTTAGAGTAACTAACCTTGTAAATAAAGAGGAAAGACAAGTTTTCATTTAGAATGCTTCAGGTCTAGATCCTCTTAAGAAAAGAGGAGTGAAATAATTTTTCTTTTTCTTAGTACCTTCACCCTCTTTTAGGATGGGGAAATTCTGCATTTTTTATTTAATTGAGTGGGTAGTTTTATGTAATAAAATTAAACATTTCTGTTTTAGTTAGGTATGAGGCTCTCATAGAGAAATCTATGTGATCAGATACAATAAGCCAAGTTGATATCTCTCATTCCAAGATCTACATAAACATACACACTTTACAACTATCTTCATTAGGAAAAAGAAATCTGGATTGTCAATCTTATCCCATTTACTTAGTTTCATTCCACACTGAAGAATACTGGAGAGGTGACATGGTTCGAGGGAAATTGGAGTAAAGGACACAGAAATGACAGCCCCTCGTTTCCTGCTCCCTGGCTGCAAGGTTAACTTTAAGTAATTGACTTTTCATGGAAAAAGTAATGACTGAAGGGGGACTTCAACCTTGAAGTTCTCCCAGCCCATCTTCGCATCAGCTTTTCGGAAGATTTTAAATTGACCTTAAAATTGTTCTGCTCTTCTCAGGGAAATCACCAGAAGAGAACAAACACAAAAGCCCAGGAGAGCATTTGTTTGGCACAAGACCTGAATTAGACTTTGCATAAGTTTCAAGAACCTAAATCCTTCAACAACTTTGAAGATTAGCATTAGAAGTCCAGGTACGTGTCTGCAAGGTGTGAGCCTAATTCCCTTTATTGCTACAGAGTTGGGCTTTGTTTTGTACTCACGCCAAGATGCCAGAGAGATAGAGTGTCTCTGCAACTAAATAAGACAAATAGCTGAACATGAAGACGATGAGGGGTTCAATCGCAGAGATATTCTGAGTAAAGCGTGTGATAAATGCAGAAATGAATCCAAAAATGATGCCGAAAAGTACTCCACCAACTCCCACAATAATGAATCGGGCACATCCCGCCAAAATGTCAACAGGTTCTATGTCTTCGAATTTATGCATCTTTGTGAAGGCAATTAATATGTTGTATAAGACCTAGGCAAAGAAAAGATGAAAGAAAGAAAATTAACATGAATTAGAAATGAGAAACATTTTACACAGACTTTTAGCTTTGTCTCTTGCTTTGTGTCCCTCTGTGGACACTAAGGGAGCAATTTTCCCTGCTTTTTCTTGGTTTCTGGTGGTTGTTGGCAAGCCGTGGCTAAGGGTGCGTCACTCCACTTCCTGCCACCTTCTTCAAGTCCTGCTCCCTGTGTGTGGTGTGTGTCTCCTCTGTGTTCTCACCACTATTTTTCTTATAAGGACACTCAGCTTAGATCTGGAGTTGAGGTTGAGCTTAATTTGACTAAATGTATCTGCAAACAACTATTTCCAAATACAATCACATCCTAAGGTTCAGATGGATTTAAATTGGGGGGGGGGGAGGGTGACATGGAGGATGACACTATTGATTCTAGTCAAGCTTCTATAAAACAATTTTTTCAGTGAAATTAGTTGGTGTTATAGATTAACTAATTTTAATGGTATATTTCAGGGAACAAATAATTTCATTTTGAATTTCACAAGGGGCTTATTTATGACTTGTCCTCCCAATGGATTACATGTTTCATTAAAAGCCTAGAGCATATAAATCTCTTATATGTCCAGTACATCTGGACATATGTATGTGATATATAACCACCTGGATAATATCTAACTGCTTGGGTACTGACCATATATTACAAAGCTGTTATACTACTGGTCTATTTTATTCACCAAAAGAAGGCCATCGTCAAGAAAACTTTGGCTGCATTTGAAAGAAAATTGTGACTTAAGAGCTCAAAATGAATTCAAAATAATCCTAGTGGCCGTATTCTGTTTCAGGGAGTTTAATTCAGTTTCACCATTTATCTAACCTAGAGCAACCTACTTATTCATCTTAAAAGCCCCAGGGTTTTCACCTTTGGAATTCTACTCACATCTAAGGAGTGAAGCCAATTTGCAAGATCCAGAAAAGGCAGATTTAAGTGAGGGTAATGGGTTCTGGCAGCTTATTTGACTCTCGAACCAGAGACTCTCAACTCCTCGAAATTAATTGAGACTCAAGGATTTGCATGTTGTTGCCAACAAGGAAAATTCTTTTGCACTGCTCTCCAGATTACAAGGAACCTGACCCAAGGACCTGGGAAAGTCAATCAGATCAGCTGTATGACTTTGCCAAGAAGATGCATGGCAGTTTCAGAAGTTAAAGTGATACACATCGTTAGGAAGACTACATTTACAGAGGCAATTCATGCACAACAAGCAAAAACAGCTTATCTTTCAAATTGCCAAGCTCTGAATATCATTATAATACTAAAGGATTTTATTTGATTTCAAATCACACTGTGTATGTATTGTTAACCTTTGGAGGGGAAATCTCAGCCAATGCTACATCTCAAACATGACCAGAACACTAATAGAGAACAAGGTTAGATTTACCCCCTTTATTCAGTGTGGAAGTGAAATATTATAATATATATATATTTGTTTTTGTCCCCATTTCCTGACACAATATTCTTAAAAACAATATGATTTCCTGAGTGATAAGGGGGGGGGGGAAGGAGTGTCTTTGGTATTCATAATGAGCACTTTTCAATTATCCCTGACTTTTTTTGCTAATGGGATGGCTCTTGTGGCCTCAAGTAGATTCCAGTTGCCAGAGAAACCAACCAGCTTATTAGAGGATTGTAACTTTGAGCCCTATCCTACCCCCAAAGAGAGAGGGCTGGATGTTTAGTTCAATAACAAATTAATCAATCATATCCATGTAAAAGAACCTCCATAAAGACCTAAAAGATGAAGTTTGGAAGGTTTTCAGGTTGGTGCTGGGAGGTGGTGTACCTGGCGGGGGCTTAGGAGTTCTGCACCCCTAAGCTCACATCTTACTCTATACATCTTCTTCATTTGACTGTTTCTGAGTTACACCCCTTCTATTAAACGAACATTCAGAAGTAAACTATTTTCCCGAGTTTTGTAAGCTGTTCTAGTAAATTATTAACCCAAAAAAAGGGAACCCCTTGCTTTTCAGTCAGAGGTATGGATGACCCAGACTTATGATTGGTGACTGAATTGCAATCTGGTGACAGTCCATGGAGTCTTTTAATTCTACATAGCTCATGTCAACACTGAATTAATTTGTGGGACATTCAGTTGGCATCCAAAATGGGAGAATTGGCTGGTGAAGGAAAGAACACCACTATTTGTTATCAAACCCAGTCCTTCTAGATTTTCGGAGAAGCTGTATCCCATAGGCATACTGCTTATAATACTGATTTCTGGGTTCCCCAGAGTCAGGGAGTGGGACCGAAAGTTTCAAGTCTTTAATCACAAGCTTAGTTCCTCTGGCAACCAGCCCCCATCCTTGTTACCTAAGAGTTCTCCTAAAGTCACCTCCTTACAAAACAAGAGAAACCTTTATGCTTCTCATTGCTTAGAAATTCCAAAGGTTTTGAAGTTTCTGTGCCAGGAACAAGATGAAGACCAAATATATATTTCTTTTTCTAAATCATAATATCATAGACACCAAACATTTAGACTAGGCTCACTTGGTGTCAGGCACTATTTTAAATGTCTTATGTGTATCAACTCAATTTCTCCCCCATAAATCTGATTTCTATTTTACAGGATAAAAATTGAGGACCAGGATGGCTAATTAACTCACTTAAAGTCAAACAGCTTGCAAGAAAATGAACCAGGACTTGAACTAAGGTATATAGCCTTTCTGTTCATTCTCTTGGCCACAATTCACTGCCTCTTCAATAGGACTTTACTACAGCTAGGCCCCATTGGAGGTAAGAAAATATAAACCAGAGGGGCCCCTCCCTGGTGACTCAACAGGTTAAAGCATAGCACTATGAAGCTAGCAGCAGCCACTTCAGCACGAGTTCTATCCCCGGCCCACATGGCACAGCAGACCTCTCTGTCTCACCCACTGCTCCCCTCAGCAGTGTATTTCATCAATCTGCCTGTTCTGCTCCCCAATCTGTCTCTGGTGAATCCTCTCACTCTCCCTGCACCTCTGACCTGTACCTAATTGTGTATGCATAAATAAATCTTAAAAAAAAAAAAAGAAAAAGAAAAAGAAAATATGTTTTGTTTTTTTCTGGCAAGCTGCTCTTTAGGGTTCCAGTTTGGTTTGAATGTGCCATGATGTCTTCACAACCAGCAGGATCCACAATTGTCCTTCTTCCCTCAAGTGATTGCCTGACAGGCTAGATGCACGTGGTTCACCTTCATGCACCCCAGGCCAGAACAACACCAGCACAGCAAGGTGCTCCTGTCTCAAAGGGTAATAAAGAAGGACACAGGGATTCATTTCTCCTGACAAAGGATTCTGTTCCAACTCACTTCTCATGTTTGAGTTCAGGGAACAATTCTAAAGTTCAATAGAAGCAGTTGTCTTGGACAGAGAACACCCCAGTTTTCTCATAGCCTTCCTGACAAATCCAAATTCAAATGGAGAGCTACTCTTGGGGTCAGTATGGAAGCTATGGCCACTGGACACTAGCTGACCCCAAAGCAGCCTCATTATTACCTCATTCATCCATCCATTCACTCATTCACTCACTCTTCATGCAGGATGCATTCCAGCTGACAGTTCTTAGTAGCCCCTGAAACACTCAGTGCTACATTGTTAAGTCCCATGATGATGGCGGGAGCTGCTGAGACACAGATCAAGGAAATCAACAGGTAACCAATCAGCAAAGATACTGATGAAGGGATGGAAAGAGGAAAGGTTAAGAGTTCTAAAGGGTTGGTAAACTGTGCTTAACACCAGCAGCAGGAGTGCTACTGAGTAGAATGCAAAGGACAGTTATGTTGATTATCCCGAAGAAGGGAAGTGCTGATTGGGGGAGCTCAGTTTTCACGGCATCTTTTAAGAAATGTTGAGATGCATAAACAAATTATTCATAATGAATAATTACTTCTCTGAGTGTTGATGACTTTAAAATAAAAATAAGAATGAAGAAATTTTGGCACACAGAGTTCTGACAATTTAACTGAGAACCAAAGGATGAAGGACCAGTACTGTGATTGAGCCCAGAGGTCCCCATGCTTGTACCTCCCAGATCTGTGGGGGGTGGGCAGACGGCGGGGATGGGTGGGGACACAGCCTTGTTGGTATCTCATTGTTGCTTTTCAGGTCATTGATTTGAATGGTCACATTTAAAATTAATGGATGTTCAGAGCAAGCTAGGATGATATGAAGATAACAGCCATCACCATCAGCTCAATTTTACAGCAATGAGACAGAGACAGAATCTTTCCTCCAGCCACAATTCACACTCAGTCGAGTGAGCCACTTCTGTTTTGGAGGAAGAATACTGCGCACACTATGAAATGGACATGTGGGTTCTCTCCTACCTTTCCTCTCCCATGAGCTGAAAATTCAAAAGTCTAAAAGAAAAGAGAATGGAATGAGCACACTGTCTGGTGTGGACTGGCCAGGCAGGATGGCCTTGTTCATTTATTTTATCTTACTCTTGTCTGATTTATTTATCTTTGGAATGTGGCTATAACTCATGGCTACAGTAAACAATAAGATTTTGAAAGAACAAGTAATGTAGAGTGACCGCTTATAGGGTGGGTAAGACTGTCCAGGACACTTACTCCATGGAACATTTCCTCCTGCTCTGATCTTGCCCGGAGGGTTTGTCTAGGGACACTAGTTATCTTTTCAAAGCTGCTTGGGTTGGGTTGGGTCTCTGCTACCTTTTCCTGTTACGAGCATATCCTGGTGATGAGAATCATAACCTAAAATATGTGGTAAAAAGAAGTGATGGGACAAGGGCCCCAGAGACTCAGATTCATTGATATTTCCACAGTTCTGGAGCTGCCCTTTCCCTTTAGTGAGAAAGCAGCTTTTTCGGGGATGAAGGTCAGTAGAGTTGTCACATCTAACCCACAAATCACAGGTCCCTTTCTAGATGACTCAAGCTTTCCGTTGAAAACGCATGTTTGCGACTGCCCCTCGGAAGGTTCCTTCCTCAATGAAAGGGCAAGTTCAAGCCCTTCGCTCAAAATACAATTGGACACATAAAATACTAGTTGCTTTCAAATGGCTTTCTAAATCTGGCTCCGCAGCTCCTCTGGTTTCATATGGGGACACAAAGATGCCCAGCACACACTTAATATTCACTGGACTGCGGGTGACCACAGGTTAACCTGGGGGTGCATGTGGGCAACACCCCTAGAACCGCTGCTACAGCGACTTGGCCTGTGGAGGTCACAAGTGCCCTCAGCAGATGCTCTGGTCACTCAAACGTTATACTTTTATTTGAAATTATCATTAAAAAAATGTCCAAGTGGGCCCTCCCTGGTGGCACAGCGGGTCAAAGCACAGCCCTGGGAAGCTAAAGCCACTTCCGCATGAGTTCGATTCCCGCCTGCCACGGAGGTGACCACATGGCGAGGCAGACCTCTCCTGACCCGCCCGCTGCTGCCCTCAGCAGTGTGCTTTGTCGCTCTGCCTGTTCTGATCCTGGTGAAGCCTCTCACCACTCCTGAGCCTCTGTCCTGTACCCCAGTTCTGTATGCACAAATAAATAAATATTTTTTTAAAAAAATGTCCAAGTGGAAGCAATTAAACTTTGGGAAAGTCAAACAAATATTGCTTACAAAGAAACCCCAAGCAGAAGCCAGGCTGTGATGGCACTAGGTCTGAAATCCAGAGAAAATCCAGGGAGAAGTCAGGGTTTCAAAGGCAAAAAGAATATTTCTTGAAAAGAAATTTTATGGATTATAGAGATCTTGAAGAAGAAATTGTCATTCTGTGGACATGCATGAGATGGCATGTAGAAAGTTGTTTCAAGATATTTCTGATAATTATGAAGGAAAGATGGAGTAATTACCTCAGATGGGCTGCATGAGATGGCCTTGATTTTGTCACAGATAAGCTCTCTTTGGAATTGGTCAGCAGTGGGGTTCCTACCTTTACCCCAAAGAGTTTGGATGTAAGTGAAATAAGATGGTCTTTGAGACTGTGAAATGACTGTGGACTGTGAAGTGGAAGTGTCATTGCTCAGAGGAGCTGCCTTAACAAAACCAGAAGCAGGAAAGTGTTTAAAGAAAGAATAGGTGCAGGTGCCAGTCACTCAATCCCTGGCAAATCTTCTCACTCCCTCCTCACACATATCTCTGGCCTGCATCCCAGTTCTTGTATGCATAAATAAATAAAATCTTTTTTAAAGAAATGAAAAGAAAGAAAGAATGGTGGAGAAAGAGAAGTGGGCAGGTCTCAGAAGCGATCTTGCTAGTCTGAGGACAGGTGCAGTCTTTTTGTCATTTTATTAATAGTGAAACTGAACAATGGAATGGGCTAGACACGGACATTCCATGATTCAAGAGACAAAGACATCGCAGGGCACCATGTGTTGTTCTGCCCTTTAAGTTTTCTTCAGCTTTCCTCCCAACAAAAGTGTTTCTTTCATACTTTCCATCTGAGTTATGGACCTGAGATTGGTCTACAAGCTAACACATTTACACAAATCCACTGTCACTGTCATCTATCCTAGCTTTTATTTAGCTTTATCATTCAATGCAGCACACACACACACACACACACACACACACGGAATAAGAGTGATGTCTAATGAATGAACAAAAAAAGCTATTGCTTGTCCTAGATGAAAACCCAGAAGAACTTCAGCAATAGATTCTGCTCAGTGAATTCAAAGTTGCATACATAACTGGGGTATAGGCTAGAGGTCCAAGGCAGTGAAAAGATTCACCAGAGACAGAGTGGGAGCAGAACAGGCAGATTGACGAAGTACACTGCTGAGGGGAGCAGTGGGCAGGTCAGGAGAGATCTGCCGCACCATGTGGGTCACTTCCTTGGCTGGGGATTGAACTCATGCTGAATTGGCCTTGGAGCTTCGTAGTGCTGCGCTTTAACCCATTGCACCACCAGTGGGTCCCTCTTTCTCTTTTTGTGGAAGCAAGTTGGTTAGTGAATGACAAGCAACATTAGTGAGCAATTTATGATGAACATGATCCTAGGAGACCAGAATTTGGGCCACAATCATTGGCCAAAGCCTATGGCTGTCCTGCTACTATTAGGTCATGCTCAGCCCTCTCCATGAGCCCCAAGGTCAGACTCCTTCCCTGGAGCCACCCTTTATCTCCCTGGGGAGCTCACCACGCTAATGCCATCATTGAGCAGGGCCTCCCCGAAGATCATCATGTAGAGCTGTTCATTCACACGGGCCTCCTCAAACACAGCCAACACAGCCACGGGGTCCACAGCTGAAATCAAACTGCCAAACAGCAGGTTCTGAAGCAGGTTGACGTCGGTGAGGCCAAAGGCCTTGATCTGGCAGATGAGGTACAGGGACAGTCCAATGCCAAAGGCATTGATCAGGGCCCCCAGGCCTGCCCACCACAGGATGGAGCCGATGTTCTCAAAGAAGGGTCTGGTGGGCATGAAGTAACCGCCCTCCAGAACAATGGGTGGAAGGAGATACAGGAAGTAGATGCTCGAATCCATGACGGGAGGTGATTTGTGGTCAGTACCAAAGATGATGGCACCCACTAAGGCGCCAACAATGATGAGGAGGCAGCTTTCTGGCATGAGGCCTGGTAGTCTGTGGTAAAGATGGAAGCCTGGGGAAAAGTGGAGAACCACATTTAGGTGTTAGCAAATAAAGTGGCTAGAGCCACTAATATAGCAGGAGATGGGTGCAACTAAGGTCCTTTAAAGCCAGGTATATGGGGCCTTAGGTGAGCTAATTGGCATCCTTGAGCCCCAGTACCCCATCGGTAGTAGGAAAATCCATGTTGAGGGGGCTTTGAACAAGACAGGACTACTCAAGGTGCCAGCCCAGTGCAGCTGTCAGGGTAGTGTCAGTCACCTGTCTACTCCCCCCAACTCTTGCTCTTCCAGCTGAGTGGAGAGGAGGGAAGGTGAAGCCCTTCCACTCTTGTGCAGTATCTACCACTAAGGCTCATATGGAGGTTTTCACTGTCACCTAAATCTCAGCTTGCTGCCAACTTACCTCCCATCATTTCCCTCTCAACCAAATAAATAAATTAAAATTAAAAGTCCTTCATTTTATTTACTTTATTTGACCAATTACATTGCCACTGGTCAGCCACTGAAGAGGGAAATCAAGCCCTTTCATGAAGCCTCCTCCATTGCCTTTACCACTTCATGTACTTAGCGCTCTCTTTCACCAGTTTCTTCAGTGGCCCCTAGATTCGGTCCCCTCCTTGCCAGATTTGTCACTGCCATATATTTTTTTTAAAGATTTATTTATTTATGTTTACAAAACTGGGGCACACACCAGAGGTGTGTTGGGTGAAAGGATTCACCAGAGACAGAGTGGGGAGCAGAACAGGCAGATCAACAAAGTACACTGCTGAGGGGAGCAGTGGGCAGGTCAAGAGAGGTCTGCCACACCATGTGGGTCAGCTCCCTGGTAAGGGATCGAACTCGTGCTGCCGTGGCTTCAGAGAGCTTCATAATGCGGTGCTTTAACCATTGAACCACCAAGGAGAACCCACTGTCTTTATTTAAGGTCCTTTTTGCCCTAGTCATGGCCTGGGCTTTCTAATTTCTAGTCTTCCCCCTCCTGTTCCACATCCTGCTGCCAGATGATTCTATACCTTGTGTTTCTCATTGTCTCATTTCCCACCAAAGCATCTCATGGATTTTAAGCTGAGGGTATTTGCTAAGCATCTTTCTGTCAAACCCAACTCACCAGTAAGTACTGTGAGGTGAAGTACCAAGCATGTTTTCTACAATTGCAATTGCTAACAAAATGTTGGGAACAAAACATTAACAAATAAGAATAATGCAATATATGTGCATGGAGTGCATATTAAATATGCCAAAGTAAAATGAGCTCAGATTATAGTGGGACCCCACTGGGCCTATCTACAAGTCAATAACCCATACCCTGCTGTCTTCTTTATCTTCCCTAGCACCAAGCTGTGTGTTCCTTTCTTTTTCTCTGATAGTGTTATTGCTGCTTGGAGAGTTCTTTTCCTCAACCTATTTAGATCCTGCTTAACCCTTGAGATTAAGCTTTTCCAATGTCTTTTCAAGGAAATACCAAGTCTTCTCTGAATTGCTATAACATTTTATCTGTACTCCTCTAAGAACAATGATCCCTTTCTACTAGATTTTTGTGCATGGGTTTTCTCATCTACTAATGTCTAATTGTCTTTAGTTAGAGCAAAACGATACACTTCTTTAGACCTCCCCAAAACGATACACATCTTTAGGAGCTTAGACCATAAATGTTGGTCTACTTGCTGAAAGAATCTGCAAGTGGGTAAAAGAATAAATGATATTAAATGTTCATCAAAAAAGCTTTAACATGGGAAATAGAAGTTGAGCAGATTGTCAAAGTTCACTAGTAGTGCTTGTATAGATGAACAACAGAATGGAAAACATTTTACCTGGACAACTTCAAGAGGTGAAAAAAGGAGGTAAGAATGGCTCAGGCATATATTTGGAATTCCTTGTAGAGGCCCATCTGGCTGGAGCAAATTTTTAATTGGACAGAGTATTGGAAAAAGAGTTGAAGAAAATTTTGATCTAAGTAATGAAGGTCTATGGGGAGTCATCGAATGCTTCATGGAGATATTTTAGGTTTCTAAAGAATACATGAGCTTCCCTGACCACAACTTTGAGCTTTTTTTCATTCACTGTCAGCTGACAGGTTAATACGTGTAGTGTGATTAGGGTCAAGAGACATTAGTCCAAACCACATGCCGGCTCACTGGCCTCTTCAAGACTCCTGCTCTCTGGATTTCCTAATGACAACTTTCTCCTTCCCTTTCTCCCATCCTTCTTCTCTTCTTCCCAAGAGAGCATATTTTAAACACTCTTAACTTTCAATACATGAAGGAAGTGAAAGTGCCCATAGTGTAATTTTCTTAGCACCTGTCTCTCAGTTTGTTCTTGCTTCTAGGAATAAAGTTTCTTGAAATGGATCCAACGTGACTTAAGTTAAACTGTGCCCACAAAGAAGTAATAGGAAGAAGCTTCATGCCTGTGAGCAGGGCACTGTAAAGGGAAATACCTTGCATTTCACATTTTGCAACATTTCTCTCCTTCAGGAATAAATGATAGGATCAGTCACCTTGAGACTTTACGGTTCCACTGCCTGCACCTTAAATGGTCACAGATAACAAGTCCCTGCCTAAAAGTCGAAGATGGCCCCATGGTTCCAATTAGTGGCTCAAGAAATGTTCTCTAATGTTCCAAGCAGTAGAAGAGAAATAAAAGATTAACCACACAATCTGTATTGAATTTGTGTTATCTTTGTTCTAGAAAATCTTTGCTTTGTACATGCATTGCTGGATGCTTAGGACTGAGGGTATTCTATACATTAAATAACATATGCTTTTTCAACAAAGATGCCTCAAGAAAACTGGTAGGGGAGAAAAAAAATGTGTACCAAAGAGTGCTAGACACACCTGTACTTTGAGAACACCTGGTCGTCTCCACATATTGCATGGGCACTCTTTATAAGTTTGTCTTGGTAGAATAACTGAATAAAAGAATGGATAACAATAATGACAACACTACTTTTGATTATTGATTTCTTCAGTGTTAAACATTTATGTCTCTTTTCTTCTTTGTTTCGGGGGAATGATCCACTATGTAGTAAGCCACAAGCCCAGTTCTTAGCACATCGTAAATATTCAATACCTATGGCTTTTTTTTTTTTCATATGGACTATAAAAAAAAATTAAAAAAAAAAAAACCTTCATTCATGCCTCTCTGGGTGGCACAGAGGTTGAGTCTCAGCGCTATCAGGCTTTCAGCAGCCAGTGTAACACACATCCTGTCCTGGCCAGGGAGCTGACCCACATGGCGCAGCAGACCTCTCTTGTCTCGCCCGCCGCTCCCCTCAGCAATACATTTCAGTGGATCCACCTATTCTGCTCCCCACTCTGTCTCTGGTGAATCCTCTCACCCTTTCCATCTCTTGCCTATACCCCAATTCTTATATACATAACTAAAGAAAAATAAATCTTTAAAAAAACTAAAAATACTTCATTCTTCAAGACTAACAATTATAAAATTGCATTGAAATAAGCATGACCCAACTGATAACCTATTTGAATTTTCTTTATCTAAACTATGTTAAATTATGTCAACTCTGGGTCCTCCCTGGTGCGCAGCACTACGAACATAGCAGCAGCAGCTTCAGCACGAGTTTGATCCCCAGCCAGGGAGCTGACCCACATGGCACAGCAGAGTTCTCCTGACCTCCCCACTGCTGCCCTCAGCAGTGTGCTTCATCAGTCGGCCTGTGCTGCTCCCACTCTGTTTCTGATGAATCCTCTCACTGTCCTTGCACCTCAGGCCTATACCCCAGTTCTATATTCATAAATTAATAAAAAATAAAATAAAATAATAAAAATGAATAAAAAATTGTATCAGCACTACTCAAGAACTCATTTAAGCCAGAAATTCTATAAACTATAGTGTCTACATAATCCTCTAAACATCTAAATGCCAAAATCTGAGAACATACAATACTTCTAAAGAACAATCTGTGTAATGTTTGTATAGAACCAAGATAAAATGCATCCTTTCTTCATTGAGATGTATACTGATGAAGAACTTAAGACTCTCATCAAAAGAGGCCTTAGGAAAGAGAGAGTAGGACTAACTAGTCAGTGGCAGATGTGCTCTCTGTTTCTCAGGGGAGCTTCCTCTACCACGTGCAGAGGGAACGTGTGGGTGGGCACAGAAGCTCTAATACTGCTTACAAAGGCAATTCAAGGATCATATAAGCTCATGAAAGGTGTTAGCCCCCTAACTTTGAATGCGGAATGACTTCAGAAAGCTGTTTTCACTTGAGCACTGCTTAGAAACAATGTGAAATACTTTTTGTGATTTAATTGCTAGACAAAATGCACAAGAGTTCTTCAAACTAATAATTTCCATGCAATGTTCACACCTCAGTAACTCAGAATGAGTAGAAGTTACAGAGGAGCACCTAATAAACACACCAGTGCCTCCACCATGCTGGAAAAATTAGATGACGAGGTAGAGACCATGGTCCTGATGCCTAGGAGTTAACTGACAGATCTCACAGCTGACTCCATATTTCACAAGCATCCAAGAGGAGAAATATAAATGAGCATGACCATGCTTCATAGATTCTATTAAGGCCCATTGTCTACTCAGGTAGCAAAGTTCATAAATGAGGTAAATCAGGTTTTTGATTTACCTCTGTGATTGATTAATCACAGAGATAAACATGTCCATTTTCCACTTTAGAATAAGCTGGTTTTCAGGAGACAAGTAGGTAAAGTTAGGGATGAAATGATCACAGAGTTTAAACCATCCCTTTGGTGTCTGGCACAAAGAACACTTGATAGAATTTAATCTATTAAATTGAATTCCCTTTATTTCATAATGTAAACCAGAGGTACCCCACTGGCTCTGCTTGGCTCCAGGACAAATCAATACTTTACTGACAGATACCATCTCACCTGCCCCCACAACCCACTGTCGAGTGACATAAGAGTTGCCTGTGGTTACCGTGTTCCTTGCTTTCTGTTAATTTGCAAGAAGCACACACCACTTTTGAAGAATAAACAATGAGAGCCATTGACGAGCCCCACAGTTACATGTCCAAGAATAAAAGAAGAATGGTTTTCAGAAGAAGCATTACGTGGTTTCTGAAATTTCCAATGGGCATCAATCCCAGGTCTATTTGCCTTACTCTGTATTTTTTAAGGCATAAAAGTTGATTTTACATGCCAAATAATGTCACATGTTCATCATCCTGCAATGAGAAGTATGCTTTTAAGTCTCAAAGAACAATTCAGAAGCATTCAATGTCTTTACATTTAAAAAAAAAAAAAAAAAAAAAAACCCTGACTTGTCCTTAACCAAAAGGAATGGAACTTTTTATGAAATAAATGTAGCAATTAAAATTCATTTAGTTTACCATATGCAAGGCATCTTTACATACTTTAGCTCTTGCAAGATATAACTCCCACAGCAGGTATCTGGGGACTTACCTATTTTTGCAAGAGAAGCTAGAAGTATCCAGAGGGTGACCTCATAAGGAATTTGCACGTAGTCATAATCCAGCGCAAAGACAGCTATCTTCCCATCTGGCTGGGAGCTGGCAGCAGCTAGCCGAACATTAAGTTCATGCTGGGCAGTAGAATTTGTGGATTCAGTCAAATCAGGAGCCACTTCGGAACACTTGAGGATCATTAGCAGTAGCAGCCAACTCCAAGAACCACAAGGTACCCACCTCTGAAGAGCCATGCTGTGGGCTTCGCCTCCCTCTGTGCAGTGTTTGCCGCATCTGACTACAGGAGGGTTGTTAGCCAGCAGCACCAACCACCGGGGTCAAAGGTAACGTACGTGAGGTCTTTAGGTCATTCCCAGAGGAGTCCAAGCATGGCTTTGACTTCTGAGTGTAGATGTTCTCAACTCATCTGTAAAGGATTCGTGTTCAGGAAACTCAGCTTCGGGCTCCAATGCAATCATTCAATAGACTAGTGAAAGGCCAGGGAGCTAGCTGGGAACCTCCATCCGAGCATGAATTGAAGAGCTTTTTAGGTAGGGCAAAAGTATCTCTTCATTCAGAGTTGTTTTCTCACTTCACTGCACACTGGTTTCATCTTGTGAGTGAAAATTTCAAAGAACATTTCAAAGGGTGTTCATTCCAGATCGCACTGAAGGCCTTCTAACCGGGAAGAGAAGCTGGTCTCTACCAGTAAGGAGTTACCTGGCCTGTACCTGCTTCTTCTCTCCTCCCCCTGCTCCCTCACTTGTTTTGAATGGCCAATGCTGCAGGTAGACTACGCTTGAGCTACGCTTAATTATTTGCTCCAATTTGACGGTTGTAATGAAATGCGGTCGCTGGGTGTTTTCCAGAGGTTGCGCTGCTGACACCTAGTGGACAGCCACAATACCACACCTTGGCATGATCAGTCATCAATCGTTCAGGCGACCCAACCCCAGGCTCTTTTAAAGAGGGAAGAAGAACTATTAACAATCATTCCAGAACGTAAGCATACATTAAGACTCTCCTGTCAAACAGTGTCATATGGACTCTATAAATGAGGAAGTTGGAGGAGGTGAAAGAGGAGGAAGAAGGAAGAGATGCATAGGGGAAGAAGGGACAGACGGAAGGAGGCGGGGAGAAGGAAGCGGAGAACCAAGGCACATTGAAAACAATGGAACATTTAGCTAGAAATTGCTGGAGTCTAAAACTGGTGTGATCTTACCAGACAATAGGCCATCTATATAGAAGCCTAACGGGAGATCAGTGGAAAATTCAAAGACAATCCTGTTAAAATCAAAGTCACTGGGCTCTCCCTGGTGGCGCAGCCGGTTAAAGCACCACATTATGAAGCTCCCGGAAGCCACTGCAGCACGAGTTCCATCCCCGGCCAGGGAGCTGACCCACATGGCACGGCAGACCTCTCCTGACCCGCCCGCTGCTCCCCTCAGCAGTGTACTTAGTCGATCTGCCTGTTCTATTCCCCACTCTGTCTCTGGTGAATCTTCTACCCACCACACCTCTGGCCTGTACCCCCAGTTCTATAAACAAAAATAAATAAATCGTTTTTAAAAATCACTGTCACTAACACCGTCCTGTGCAAGCAGTGAGAAGCACAAGCTCTATAGCAGGCAAGTGTGACTGGGAGGTTCCTTCTATTCAGCTCCACTGATGGGATTGAAGATCCACTCCAGACACAGCAGATCAAGAGCCTTGGGCCCGGGTAACTGGCCCCGGTGAGGTGCTAAAGCAGGAGAGGGGCCAGGGAGACCAGGAGCCACTGCCCTGCCTATCACTCCATCCATAAAGCCACGGTCCCATTGACTTTTATTTAGATTACCTGGGAAATTCAAGAGTAAGCCCCCTATCAAAAACAGTGGAGATTTAGGTAGTGAGCGAGTTAAGAAAGGCTGGTTACTCATAATAGCAAAGAGTAAAAGGGGCAGGCCACCTAAAATTTTAGCCAAAGAACTAGAGGAAGAACCAACTGAGGAGAACATTACAGTATTAGGGAAGTGTGGAAGACTAGCCTCAAACACTTGCCCACCAGAGGACCTCGGGTTAATTGTGTCTAACTGTGGAGCCATTTATGACCCAAGGCATTTTGGAAACAAAAGACCATTCAGCTAGAAATTTCTGGAATCTAACAACTGTGGAATCAGTGGACAAAATAGACCATCTAGCAGGTCAATAGGAAGATCGGTGAAAAAGTCAGAGAACCTCCTAGAGCTATACTCTCTTTGGGTATTAAGGAAGAAAGTGGGGGTTATGTGTATGCCCACGACTTCACTGACTGAGGGCAGATAAGAAAGTCTGAAATGGGAAGTAGCATTCAGGAAACTGGCCTGCCAAGTAGCTATACAAAGTAATAACTGGAGTTAAAAGAGGAAGAAGATTCAGTATCAAGGTTTGCTACAAGATGTCATTTTAAAATGCCCAGTTTTTAGCCAAAGGAAACTGTAAGACTATATGTGGACTACACAAAAATATACATTTAGGGCCTTCCCTGGTGGCACAGCAGGTTAGAGCACTGCACTGCGAATCTAAGCCAAGTTTTAGCCACCTCAGTGCAAGTTCGATCCCTGCCCAGGAGTTGACCAACATGGCACAGCAGTCCTCTCCTGACCCACCCGCTACTCCCCTCAGCAGTGTACTTCATAGATCTGACTGTCCTGCTCCCCACCCTGTTTCTGTGAATCCTCTTGTCATCCCTGCACCTCTGGCCTGTACCCCATTTCTGTATGCATAAATAAATAAAATATTTTTTAAAAAAGAAAATATACTGGCCCTCCCTGGTGGTGCAGCGGGTTAAAGCACAGCACAAAGAAGCTTAAGCCACTTCCGCATGAGTTTGATCCCTACCTGCCCTAGAGGAGATCCACATGGCGCAACAGACCTCTCCTAACCCGCCCGCTGCTCCCCTCAGCAGTGTACTTCGTCAATCTGCCTGTTCTGCACTCCACTCTGTGTCTGGTGAATCCTCTCACCCTCCGCATCTCTAGCCTGTACCCCAGTTCTGTACGAATAAATAAATCTTAAAAAATATATATATATATACTTTTAGATCGAAAGATACCAGATAAATCATGTGATAACAGAACTGGAGTGGCTACATAAAAACAAAAAATTGTGATAATGAAGAAATTGTTATTATAAATAAAAGAGGAATTCTATTAAAATAAAAGAGTTATTTCATTAAGCAGATAGAACAATTATAAAAATACATATATCTGGTGGTATTTACCCAGGAATGGAAAGTTAGTTTAATATCTAAATGTCATTTAACATTATTGTCATATCAGTAAACCGTAAGCCATTTCAATCAACTGGGAAAACACGTTTGATAAAATCTACCACTCTTGATTTGCAGAATACTCAACAGACTAGGAATAGAAAGAGTACTCTCATCATGATAAAGAGCATCAAAAAATTTCATAGCTAACAACATACTTAATGGTGAAAATTAAATACTCTTCTTATAAAGTAAGGAATAAGACAAAGATAAACACTTTTGCAACTTCCATTAAAAATTCTATCAGGAAAAAAAAAAAATTCTATCAGGGCCCTCCCTGGTGGCGCAGGGTTAAAGCACTGCACAAAGAAGCTCAAGCCACTTC